CTCCCAGGGGTTAATCGCCCCCGAACTGTCTCTCTCTGACTCTTCAGCCCACCTGGTCCCCGTCGATCCCCCTTCGTTTTACTGCTTCCCAGTCACTTACTGCAGGAAGCGCCGTCCATGGGGTGCAGTAGATCCCACCGCTGTCACCGGTTGTCATGGAGTGTGAGGGGACACAAGGCCCTGCCCCCCCCGGCTTCCTACGATTCACCATGACTTTCAGCCAGCCAGTAAAGCAGAAGGTTTATTTAGTCGACAGGAACACAGTCCAAGACTGGTCTTGCAGGCACAGACAACAGGACCCCCCCTCAGTTAGGTCCATCTTGGGTTCCCAAGGCACCCCAGTCCCCTTGGGAGGTCAGAGCCCCGTCTGCCTCCCAGCCATATCACCAGCCAGCTCCCAAAACTCTCTCTTCAGCGACCCCTCCCACAGCCTTTTGTTCAGTTTCCCGGGCAAAGGTGTCACCTGACCTCTAACCCCTTCCTGGGTTCTCATGTTACATGCTCAGGTATTCTCCGTCGGTCAGTCTCCCATCCCCCAATGGAGACTATCCTAGCCACACTCCCCTGTCAGCATTCAAAGACCACAGTAAGAACAGTCCCAGTTTGTCACACTGTGTTCTTCGCATTGTACAGCTCTTCAAGTTATTCTTTCCATTGTTTATTCTTTGCTTGTTCGTCCTCAATTATTTGTCTGCACTTGTTATTCACCACCAACATCTCCATTTCATATGTCCCTTTCAGTTCTCTTATCTTGTGATACAACCAGTGTTCCCTCTAATTTTCCCACACATGTGCGGAATGAATTTTGTTATGCGCACCAATATGGAGGTGACACATCACCTTCGTATTGGTGCACATAACAAAATTCATGTGGTGGGGGGGTGAGTGGTTTGGAGTGGGGGGAGGCTCAGAGCTGGGGCAGAGGGTTGGGGTGCAGGGGTGTGAGGACTCCAGCTGGGGGTGTGGGCTCTGGGGTGGAGCAGAGAGTTGGGGTGTGGAGGGATGAGAGCTCCGGCAGGGGGTATGGGCTCTGGGGTGGGGCTGGGGATGAGGGGTTTTGGGTGCAGGAGGGTGCTCCAGGGCTATGGCAGGGAGAGAGGACTCCCCCCAGCTCTCTCTCCCCGCAGCAGCTCCAGGGCTGGGGTC